TTGGTGGTACCGGGGATCAAACTCAGGACCTTTCTCTTGCAAGGCAGGTGTGGTGCCACTGAGCTAAATTCCCATCCCCAGCTTTTTTAGGAATAGGAAAAATTTATTGAAAGAAAGCTCTATCTAAGAGAGACAGAGGGGGACCAGAAAGTAGGTTGCCTACCCACACCACTTCTCAAACATATTTTATACAGCAAAGCCATGTAGTGAGGCGGGCACAAAGTGGAACAAAACTCTTAAGACCCAATGGAAAATTACAAAGTGGGCATGAGTTGGGGCAAAACCATGACCAGCCAATAAGATTACAAATTCAGTCATCCAGGTAGTATTAATTAAACGGGGGTCAAATGGGGGAAGCAAGTCAGGTAGCAAGAATACAAGGATTTTCAGTAAGCTTGGGGGTCAGGGATATTTCCTGGAAAGGCTGGCCAAAGACCTTGGCCCCCCACCCAGGTGATTGAAACCTATTTAGAATATCAGTCACCTCTATTTAACCCCAGGGGAAGCACAAGGGCAGAGCAGTTGCTCCCCTTTTACAATTCTGGCCTTCAGAGAATGTGTCTTTATTGTCCTCCTTGTTGGCTCCTGGCTGTGTTGGCTCCTTGAGGGCAGCCCTGTCTAACTGCCTACAAGATAACTAATTAACTTACTTATCTGTAGTATTCCCCCCTCTGAAGAAGCACCCCTAACTGCTGTGAGGGGGAAAAGGGTCCAAGAAAGCTCTTGCTGATTCCAGCTGAAGAGGGTCATAGTTGTGATCAGCAGTTAGAGTTACTCTACAGAGGGTCTATCTAAAGGCCTTTCATAGGTGCCAGGCATTTTCATCTTGATAGCTGCATAGCTTTTAAGTCTGGAGGAGACAAAGCCAAAGAAACAGTTAAGAATGTATGGACCAAATTATAAGGTCAGCAGGATTGCTATGAATATAGCCCACAAAGAGTATAAGGAGAAGGTCCTCTGCATTCTTTCTGTGAATTTGCTCATCACCTTATTTCCTTCCATAACTTAATATGGTGGAGTAAAAAAATGAGCTTTTAGTGGAAGAATCTGTGAGAAGCACTCAGAAGCAATGGAAAAAAAGATGTATTTAGGCAACTTGCATAACTATTTGATGAATCCGTGCACTTTGACCAAATTCATGTATCAAAAATAATATGACCCATAATATTGTACACTTAAACAGAGAGGGAGAAGGATAGGGTGAGAGGGG